TGCCGTGAATCGTGGCCAACTGATTGGTGTTTACAAATATTTACCCTGGTACTGGACGCGTTGCTATTTATTGTGCCATTGATGATCATGTCAATAACATATACGCTAATATCCAGGACATTGCGGGATAACTTGAAAAATTCGCACCAAACAAGTAAGCCCTAGTACAATATTATTATTAATTTTGCGTGATAAATATTCACGTTTATTTAAACAATATAAAATACAAATAAATACTGTATTATAGCCTATTGCCTAAATACAATAGATAAATAATAGTACCTAGATGACCTTTTTATATATTGGCTACAGAATATTCTGTTATTATAACAGTGAAGCCATACTAAGATTTTTCAATTACATATTACTTTCAAGTTTTACATTAATAAAATAAAAAAGTTTTAATATTTTTAAAAGCTAAAATATTAACCTGGTAAACTCCCATGGGAAATTTGTAAGAAATCCGGTTTAGAAATAAACACTTAATGGATTAAAAAGTTGTAAAAAATTAATTTCAAAATATTGTTTATATTATAATGAGTCTAGACAAAATAAACATATTTACTACATTATTATATTGTACACTATTATTGCACACTAATCACTTATTTAATCTGTTAAAGATTTAGATGCAGTTTACTGCTAACCCAGGTTTGAGTGTACTGGCTCAAAAATTGAGCTAGTACTGTACAGTATAATAACGTAGTAATAATATGTTCATTTCATGTCTAGACTGATTATAATTAAACATTATTTTGAAAATAATTTTGCTATTTATTAATCCATTAAGTGTTTATTTCTTACAAATTTTCCATCGGGGTTTCTATATGATCTAGCACTTTAGCTATAAATTATAAATATCGTACCATGGCATTAGTATTAACATGAATAAAATAAATTTAAAAAAACTATTATAGTTTTCTCAAGTGGACATACCTACCGGGTATAGGACAGGCATTCATACATTATACTGTATAACATACATAACCATTACATGAAAATGTAATTCACAATAAATAATACATACATTCCCTAAAAAACGGCGATTTTTGTTACTTTTTATTGTTTGTATAGTGTATACAGAATATTATGTTTCCAGAATTCCTTACTATTCATTAGTCTTTCGATAAAAACCTGAAAATATTTGTCACAAGTATTGTATTTCAAATAGTTTCCTGGTCATTGATTTAAATATTTTTATATTATAGATATAGATAACAAACAGCCACAAAGTGTGCCGGATATCTCACCACCTTCAAACGACTACATTGCCTATGACACTAAAGTGTACCAGGATATAGTAGACAATGGGGGCGCCAGTAAGCCAAAGGTGGTGACCCTGCGATCTAATACCAGTCCCGTGATAGCCGAGGCCCGACAGAAACGTATCATAAAAATGTTGTTTGTGGTGGTCATGGAGTTTTTCATATGCTGGACACCCCTGTACACCGTGAACACCATAACCCTGTACTACCCCCAGTGGGTGTACAAACAGTTGGGCTATACTGTGATATCGGGTTTCCATTTGTTGGCCTACTTTTCCTGTTGTACTAACCCTATCACCTACGGGTTTATGAATAGTAGGTTCAGGGAAAGTTTTTTGCTATTGTTTAAGTTTAGATGAGTTTGTGTGTTTGTATGTGTACATGATGTTTTTGTGTATGTACATGTGTGTAAAAATATCCCTGATATTTATATAAGGATTTTATTTTTTATTAACTTTTAATTATAGTTTGCATTAGTTTTGTATATTTGTGGAGTTTTATTTAGTTTGCTATAAAACAATAAATTTTTGTATATATTAATTGGATTTTGCATAGCGTTTCAAATGTCAACGCTATTTAAAATAATATATTCTGGGTTATATTACAGTAGCTAAATACCAGTTGCTCTGGGTAAAAATATATAACAGTATTATATTTAATATGATACAGTATTACAAATAAAACAAAGTTGCATTAATAAATTGTATATATTGGTATATTATTTATAAATTATTTTCTACCTTGTAAGTAAGTGAGCTATGGCCCTTTATGATGTAAAAATTATTATTATAGATAGATAAAAATATACTTGTATGTTTGATTGTAATTTTATATACTTGATAAAAATAAACATAAAATTCCTAATGTAAATATGATATAAATAATAAAATGTAGAATATAAAATTTATTTTAGAATAGTCACATGTACCTTTATGTTAAATATTTTAAGTTAAATATAAAATGCTAATAAAATTGTCTAGAAAATATATTATTTACAAAATAAATAAAACACTTTTCAAACATATATAATAACTATTATATTAATACTGTATTAAAATGGATAATATTTCAAGTGAAAGCAAAATTTAAATATATTTTACATCTTGTATTATATAAAAATTAAAAAATTATTTATAGAAATTGAGTGCATATTATTGAAATATCGGTATATAAATATACAAAAGTACTTGATAATATATAAATAATGTAAAATAAATATTTTATTTAAATGATAACATAGTATGGTAAATATTTTAATAATAATATAACATTATATAAATAGGTATCTTACTTAAATTGGCAAACAATTTAGTTTGTTTATATAAATTTTTGTTTAATATATTGCAGCTTAGCAAATAAAAATAATCATAATGCAAAAATATATTTTTAGAAATACAGAATTAATATATTTATAATGAAAAACATTTTAATTATTTATTGAGCTCACATTTTATATTAAAATATATAATACTCAATGATGTTGAAATAAATTAGTATTTCCTTACATAGACATCATATTATGTAAAGTTTTGTATAGATTTCAATTTAATGGTATACTATTTATTCAGGTTTTAGATTTAAAATATATTTTATATCTATTTCAAACTTGTACAATCATTATATTCATACGTAAATTTAAATTAGTTTAGGCTTTACATTCAATGCAGATTTATAAGCAGTAAGTAATTATTATAAAACGTACCAGTATATAATGTAAAAATATAACTTACATCATAAAATTTTAATACTTGCACGTGAAATGAATTATACAAAAATGCAGCTTGCTTATTCTCACGCTCATACAATTAACTTTACATTATTTGATACAATGTTATGATCATTGGTAAAACATTTTTGTAGTAATAATGTTTGTTTAACATGTTACATGAAAGTTATTTTACTTTAAATTCAAAATAATATATTTGAAAATGTATCAAGTTTGTTACGACTAATAAGTTTAGAAGGAACGCGATCAATTTAGTTATTTATAATACAATTCTAGCTACTGTATATTAAAGAAAACAATTAACATACAAATTAGTAATTAATATTACATAATAACCTTTTATCACATTTGATCAAGTGCATATATAAAAGTATTATTAATTGTTATAAAATATTGCAGTTTGAAATAGATTTTTAAAAGTATTTTTATTTATTCATATTTTCAAAAGCATATTCAGTAGTTATAGCATGCTTATTAATTCAAGCATGATGATATTTATTAAAAATCATCAGGCAACAACCCCATTATTATTAATGGGTTGGTCAATTGTTATATACCCGGTATCGAGGGTACAATCCACGGAGCACTTGGATCCTCTAACAAGTGACATACCGTAGTTCATAGTCCAACGGGACACCCCCTCACTACTGGTGCAACCATCCCGGTTATCCGGCAAGAATGACAGGGTCCACCTAAAACTATCACCATGGCAAGGACCTTCATTAACAGTTCCCATTTGGACCCGGAATAAATTACCTAGCATGGAAATTTATAAAACAAATAAAATGAGAATGTTAATAACAATTTATAATACTTAAAATGAGTAGTTCATTTTTAATTTATTATTAAATTAACCGTAATATTTATGGCAACCTATTTCATGTGCCTAGTTCAATATAACATTAAGTATATAGACTTACCATCAGCATAAGCTAAATATGTAGACAAATTGTTAACTTTGAACAAGACCGTTTTATCGCTAGTAATTTCGATTTTCTCATCCAGGCTCTTGTCAATTGTTAGGTAGCCGTTACAAGTTATAGGAGCAGGGAAGATTATTTGTTGAGTGGCAGGGAATTTGGCACCAGTTTTTGAGCTGACACAGTTCATGGAGACCGACAAGGTGATATTTGTGTCAACAAATGGTGTAATGGCTTATAATAAATTTAATTAAATATCAGTAAATTTAGCGTGTACAAAATATATCTACCCATTTTTTGACCCAGCTTAGGTAAATCAATAGCCCCATCCGTGTCACGTTTATGCGATTCTATTACCAGATGAGATATTTGTACATGGTTAATTATTATGATTATGCTAGAAATAATAGTTTGATAAGTTTTAAATAATTTTAAATACCGTATGAATTGATCAAGGTTGCAATTATGAAAACTATTAGATAATTACTAACTAATATGGTATTCATGGTTAACTAAAATCTTAATTATAATCAAGCACGCTTGGTATAGGTTAAAAATAGTAATGAAATTATTTTTATTAATAACATTTAATTATTAGGATAAAAAATTATTTTTATTTTCATGTTAGTCCCAGGTGTATTATAAGTTTACAAATAAATACTAAAATTAGTTATAATAACTCTTCAGTATAAATTTATCCCAAATTAATTAACACATATAATTATTAGTAATAAATCAATTGCAATACATTATTATAATTTTAAAATGTGCTTAGTTAAATAAATTTCTAATTCTTAGAATAACTGTGGTTTCTGGAAAATATTATTTTTTACAATTTAACAAGTTTATTTTATAATTATGTAATTATTAATTATTTAATTTCATTATAAAGATATTTTTAAAAAAAGACTTTATATAATAATTAAGTTTGTAAATTATAAAACTTATAAAATTAGGATGATTATTTTTATATCATTACAAGGTAGCAAAGTGTAGCATGCAAAATTAATTTTTAGTACTTGTGCTATCTTACTTAACAAAAATAGTCCACAAATATACAACTTTTTATTAAACAAAACAATCAACATACAATAGTAATAATTGCTATTAGATAATAACTTTTTACACCTACCTTACATAAACTATTGAAAATATAATTTTATTTATGTATTATGATATTCGGATATTTTTATTCATTCATATTGTTATTATAGCATGTACAATACACACAAAATAAAATATAACTATTTATTCAAGCATAATGATATCTATTAAAAATCATCAGGCAACAGCCCCATTATTATTAATAGCTGGGTTAAGTGTTATATACCCGTTATCGAGGGTACAATCCACTGAGCACTTGGATCCCTTGACATGTGATATAGCGTAGTTCACAGTATAACGGGACACCCCTTTACTACTGGTGCATCCATCCAGGTCATCCGGCAAGTATGACATAATCCATGTAAAACTATCACCTGCGCAAGGACCCTCACTGACAGTGCCCATTTGCACCCGGAACATATTGGCTAGAATAAAATGTTATTTAAAAAATAATCATGTATATGAATCACAATTTATAGAAAATAATATTTGCCATTTTAGTTTTAATTGGTCTAACCATCTTATTCTATGATCTATGTCATTTATTACACGTACCCTAGTGAACAATTTAATAATACTGTTTGACAATAGTACAATACATTGACTTACCATTGGCGTACGCTAAGTGCGTGGATAAGTCGTTAATTTTGAACAGGACCGTTTTGTCGCTAGAAATCTCGATTTCCTGATCCATGGACCTGTCAGTTGTTTGGTAACCGTTACAGGTGATTTTAGCAGGGTAGATAAGTGGTTGCGACACAGGGAACTCAGCGCCCGATTTTGCATTGACACATTTCATGGAAAGTGTCTGGGTGATTGTTACGTCCACAAACGGTGTAATCGCTATTGATAAAGTTAATTTCATATATGTTATTATATATAAATATAAGTATATACAAGCAATATATACCCAATTTTTGACCTAGCTTAGGTTGGTCAATAGCTCCATCCGATTCACGTTTATGCGATACTATAAGTAAACATATTTGTACATGGTTAGTTATTAATAATAACTTATTGTAGCTAAGTCATTTGATAAAAGTGTTAAATTATTTTAGATACCGCATGAATTGACCAAGATTGCAATTATGCAAGCCAGTAGACAATTGCTAACTCGTATAGTATTCATGATTAACTATAAGCTTAAATATAGTCTATTACTTTTGGTGTATGGTAAAATAACTTATAAAAATAATTTAAACATTTAAATAGGTTGAACAGGTAACTTTAATTTTCATCGTAATAGGTTATTATTAATAATAATTATAGATTTATTATGAATTTACATATAATTACAAAAATTAATGTAATGTTTTACTTTTCAATATAAATGTGCTGTATAAACAAATAATAATATTAGTAATAAATCAGTTGTTACATTTATAATTAATACAGTCATTGTTTAAATAAATAGGCAATTCTCATGAATAAATATGTTCTAGACCATTTTTCATAAATAAATTTAACATAGATTTCGTTGAAAACCAACTTTTGTTAAAAAGAGATTTCAAATTAAGTTTCATTTGAATTGATATGATTTAGTTTGACAAGTATTTTTTATAATACAAATTCAAGTGTTCACAGTCTAGTTAAAAGTGTCTAAAAATAAATTCATTATTAACATAATATGATTAAGGATAATAATAATAATAATATGAATTTTGTTGGTAATAAATGTTTATTAAAAACATTTAAATTCTAACATTTAATATTGAATAATAAATATTGAGCAGGAGACATATTAGTTTATTTTTCACGCAATAAAAATACATTTAATATCTATAACTTTTAAAAAGGTTTTAATACAGAGTCTAAATGTGGAAAATAAAAAGTTCTCGAAAATACAATAAAATTTAAATATAATTAATAATAAATATATAATATATAAATTATTATATATTAAAATATATTAAAATATATATATATATTAAAAAATATATTAAAATATTATATATAAATATATAATAAATATAATCAAAAAACGCATAAAAATTAAATGAAACAATTATTTCTTATTAATCTGGGTTTAGGTGCGACTACCAGTGCGATCCATGACATTCTCGACGCTATGGTCTCCCGGACCACCCGTTCCTCCTCTGCCGTGAACTCCAGTAGCGTTTTGATGGCTTTAATGAGATGTGCGGCCACTTCGTAGTCACTGCTCACCATATATTTGAACACAACGTTCCGCAAGTACTCTACATTTAGCTCCCGGTGCCTATCGTTCCCGTAAATTCATAGTTTTGTATGTGTTTTAGCATGTCTATTTAAATCATATATTGTTTTAAAACATTTGTGGCATTCGTTGAAATGACAAACAAATTGTTTTTCATTGCAATGTATTCTCTGTTTGTGTTGAATTAGATTTGATTTTCGACTAAACCTTTTATTACAATTATCGTAACCACAACTGAACTGTTTTATCGATGAATGTTTTGTTTGGTGATTAATTAAATCTGTGTTATTTGATGCATTGTAATGACATTTAGGCCAAAAACAGTGGTAAAAGGTAACTGTCTCACTCTTAAAATGTATGTGCCGTTTATGCTTTTTTAATAAATATTTAGTCGAAAATTCTTGATTACAATTAATATGATGGCACTGGAAATGTGTAACTTTGAAATGCTTAACATTTTTGTGATAATTCAAAGCTGTTAAATGTTTATATCGTTTATTACATTCACTCCAATCGCAAACAAAACTCTTTTGAGATTTGTGTGAAAGCTTATGAGCAAATAAATTGTACTGGTTTACCGTTTTGTACTGACATTTAGGCCAAAAACAGTGGAAATAGTGATAAGTGTTGAGTGTATTAATGGTGTT